GGATGTGGGGCAGAACATATGGTTATAAAGACAATTTCTTAATTTTGAAATGCTCTGGGGCAGAGCTGATGTTCATTACTCTGCTGACACTCTTCATGGGGTCAGGATGTGACCTGGTGCAGTGAGTGCTGCAGTGTTGTAGCTGGTGCCTCTGCATCTTGTACTAACAGTCCTCCGGTAATGTTTATCTGCACACATGCTGACACATCTCTGCACATCTCTGAAGTGCTGAGATGAACGGGATATCAGAAGCACTTGCTTGTAGTAGAGATGGTTTGCCTTTTAAGCTTGGGAGGGCCTGTGTTAGAGGCGTAAGGATCCGCCATCCCATCGATAGGTGTCTGGATTTGATTTCTTACCCCTAGACCAATGCAAAATACGTGAATGAAGTGGTAGGATTCGCTAACCCGGCTGGGTAGGGGTCAGAGCTGCTGTGTGACGGTAGCTTTCCCAGGGAGCCTAGGTTGTGTGGTCAGTGTGTTTCAGTTCACAGTTGCAGGGCAGCCTAGGGACTTGCTCATATTTTTCAGTTTGGGGCCAAAGACAGCTGGGTTCAGGAACTCAGAGGAGTTTGCCTGGCATAAATGAGAAAATTGAATAAAGCACTCCTTAATTGTAAGCCACTCGTACTATACGAGCAGAATAGCTACAAGATAGCTTGTTTATTTTCTGGAGGTTCTGACATCCATCTATCTATGTTGCGTAGCTGTTGAGGACTATTAGAGAGCTGCTGACCTGAAGGCTGGCATTTTCTTTGGTCTGATATCAGATGAAGTATCCTGTTACACCAACAGGCTGGGACACAATGCTGATAAAGTTCATTAGTAAAAAAATCAGTATTTATCAGGATGTTACTATCATTCTTTTTTCTGACTGTGGGTATCATTGGAGTGTGTTTGTGAAGGAGAGAAGACAATTAAATGACAGTTCTCTATCTCTAAAAATAGCACAGCCCTTGGTAATGGAGTTTTTAGAATGATTTGTGATTGTGATAAAGGGACTAAACATTCTCCATGTTTCACTTTGTATCTCCAGTGACTTTCCCTCGTGAGGCAAAGGGTAGGGGGAGGAGAGCTTGCATGTTGTGTTACCTCGGGGGAAATTGTGCATATCCTCCAGAGAAACTGATAAGTGAAAAAACTGCAGACGTAAGCAGCAAAACTCTATGTGAACAGGACTCTCCTGAACCTAAGTTCTCTGGGGCCAAAATAGCTGCCAAAGGGGAATGTGAGACTTGGCTGCTTAGCATTTTCTCTGACTGGGTAAAAAGGAAGCACATTAATAAGGATGAGTGCTCGCTGTCAAACTGGAACCGTTACAGTATTTTCCCATTGGGGAACTTCCCCATTAGCAGGAAATATATTTAAAGCCTCCAATTACAAACGCTGTTTTTCTTTTTTTAATTTAGAAAATTCAGTGCAACATGAAGCTCTTCCTAGTCCAGGTGGAAATTATGGGTTAGTTTCTTCAGCTGGGACCAAGATAAGAAGTTACTTGCCCAGTTTCATGAGACTGGCATAACCATTACACACACCCCTGAAAATATGGTTAAGTGCACTTATGTGGATTTCTTGGGTGCTGGGCCTTAAGGATTTAGGGTGTCTTGTTTAACAACCTTGCTCAGAATGCATTATTAAGAGCTTTTTATAGCAATTCAAATGTTAACTCTCTTCTGAGTCTTTCCTCCTGCGTATTGGCCTTGTCCGGTGAGACAGATTAACTGCAAATGGCTGTGACAGATTTGCTTCTCTCTCCTGAAGATTTCCAAAGTGATGCAGAAGAGGTTCTGCTCATAAGCCAGAGCAAACTGGCTGGGGACGGAAGCGTTTCTAAGTACAGTAACAAAGAAGATACTATCTCAAGAATGGCACAAAAGGTTTTTCTGCTTGACTTTTACCTTGATTAGGAAGATAGTTTGTGGTTAAAGTGCGGAAAGCGTGGTGCCATATTTTTAAATGCTCTTCACTCCGAGCATCTTCAGGAGGTGCTGGCTGGTTATGGCCTGTCATTTGCTTAGTTTTAGGACCCAACCTCCGTCATTTAGCCTTGTTTGCCTGATGTGGTGAACAGTCAAATGGAGAAAATACTGTATGTTTTGGGGCAAGATCCGGTATCGTCTATGTAACTTGTCTGGCTGGGGTAGATGACTGGGCTATGTTATGTAGGAGCACTTGCAAAGTATTAGCCTGAATTGAACTTTGCACTTCTTAAGTTTAGAAAAAAGTTACAATTTTGGACTTTATTAAAAAAAAAACAAACAAACAACCCCCCCCAAAAACAAACATTCAAACCACATTTGGGCTTTAGACTAACTCCTCTTTTCTGTTCTTCAGAGCAAGAATTCTACAGTCCAAATGCAGAGACTGTAATAATGATAATCACAGACTGCATGACCTATACAGAAACTGGAATTATGTTGTTTTGAGAAAACACCCATTCCTCCATTGTCAGCCCTTGCCTCCTTGAGGAGAGCAGTTTTTGGATGTGGGGTTTTCTTGTCTTGATTTCACTCAGTTCACCTAATATTTTGAGAACAGAAGCCTAGTGTTCTCAAAGCTGATGGCACTTTCAGAGTTTATTTCATACTGGACTGTCAAGCTTCTGCCTCATTCCTAAACACACGCACACACTATTTCATACAATCTTTAGTTTGCAAACCTTATTTTTGGGAGGCTGGTCAGTGTGCAAATAGCACTATTATGTTTACCTCAATATGCGAGGGATTTCCTTACTCTATCTGTCTTGTTCAGGGATCTGTCAGACTTGGAGAGCAGCATCAAGTACAGCTTGCTTCTTCTAGAGGAATGCAGCAGAGAATACTTCAGTTGTTTGCCTACCCTAGTCAATGTAGGGGAAACAGTTCTAGTTGCCTTCATGTTACTGCCTTCAGCAGCAAACAGCCTAGCCATATGCAAGGGTGAGAATGAGACTTAATGAAGTTGGTTCTATTGCTGGTGGCTGGGCAGATTGCAGTAAACACTAAGCAAACCAGAAGACTAATTGAAGAGCGTGTGCTGCCGGTCCAAGAACTGATCCTCTTGTAAGATGCAGTGCCAAGGAGTTAACGTGCCTTCTTGAGTGGAAACTTTCTGTGTATTGCTTGAGCTCATGGGGACTTTCACGTGTTCAAAATAGTAATGGTAGAAAAGGCCTCCAGTCTTTCAGTGGGTGTCTCTCTCAAAATCTGTCGCGGAGGTACCAGAGTAGTAGACAGCTGAGAACCTGAAACTTTGCCCGAAAAATGTTTTATCAGAAGGGCTATATGTTTATGTCACTCCTGAGGTCTCCTCCGCTTCAAGCTGCGAAGTGGCAATATACAGGCTTTTTGACCAGTATCATGTGTTGAAAGGCTTTGCAAACTATATTTGCAATTCTACCTTAATCTTTGATTCTTCCTTCCCTACCTTCCATCTTCCTTGCAAGCTGCTCCTCCAGAGTTGTAACATGTTTTCAACAGTGCCTTGCTGCATTCCAGTGCTTTTACTCTTCTACTTTGATCAGGCAAGAGTGCAATTCCTGGAATTTGTAACAGGCTAATTTACAATCTTCAGTTTGTGCTGTTTCCTAAAAGACAAAGGTCACCAGCTGGGGACAGAACTTACTTAAAACATGTCAGTCTCCACAACTGTAACAGGAGCAATACATCGCTATTCTTTGACATGAGCTAAAAGTCAGTGCTGGTGAGAGGATCTTCGTAAAAGGATTGAACAGATTGCAGAAGAAGGGATAGCAAATAGAAATGCAAGCCTGAGCTGCACTTGTTCTTCTACCTAAACTCCTGGAGGAACAGAAGTAATTTGTGCTCTCTCACCATGCAATTTACTGTTTCCACCAGGAAATAAATAAAGATAATGTAACAGTGCTAGTCATTCCCTTTGCTATCATGCAGTAAGGTCTTGCATCCTGTTACAAGGTACCTATCCCCTTGTGCTTGTTGTCTCTACTTGCCTCAAGCCATTCTTTCCATTTGAACAGCCAGAAACCCTTACTGCTATGTCAGAAGCGGAGGTGAGTATCAAAAACTCTGTAAATAACTTGGTGTGCAGCACAAAAGGAAAAGGAAGACTCTAAGGTGTTAACTTTTATCTTCTAAGTCTGAGCTGTAGCTTACTAAGCATATGAAGAAGGGCATTTTTGAGCGGTATAAATTATTCAGAACTGCTAGAGGGAGACAAGAAAAAACAGTCTTGTTCAGAGGATGTGAATTTTACTTGCCTGGAATATCCTGTATCTTTGCTTTGCTCAAATAGCCTTATGTATGAAGCACTTTATCCAAATGCAGGAATTAAAGAGCTATTACTACAATTGGTAGACTGGAAATGTTTACAGATCCTATATTACATTCCAAGATTCTATCTGTAAGTGTTATATGTGTTTGTAAAAGTGTTTAAAAAAAAAAAACAAACAAACCCAAAACTTGTGTAAGAAGTTACATATGTGATGTGTTATTTCTAGCACAGTTTGATTAAGCTTTTGCTGCCCAGTGTGCTGAGTTGGGCTGCCCTGAATGCTGAACCAGTCGCCTGCTACCGACAGGTGGCAAAGCTTGCAGCCATAGGTGATGGCACTTTGCAACTTGGACTTGCTGACAGTTCATTTTGTTCAGCATATTTTTACCTGAAGTGCTCAAACAGTTTGAGTTCATGGCAGGAGCTGCAAGAGTGAAAGCAGGGCTGGAACAGTGCCGTACATCTACCTCTTGACTTTTCTTAAGTCCTATAACGTACTACCTTCAGCTGGAGAATCCTGAAGGGATCTCTACCTAAACTTTTCAGAAGGCTTTCACAGCACTGGTTAAGCCTCACCTTGGCCCAGAAAGTAACGCTCAGTAGGGAATAGCTAGAAACTGGCAGAGAGAAGAGAATTGATTCTGCTGCATCACAGTCCACTTAATGTTTTTGTGAAAGGAACCAATTCCTCAAAGGCCCTTAAACAGTCTAGAAGGTAGCCAGCAGATTACAACAGAACAACACATACTTTTACTAAAAAATATTTTTAATATTTTGAAAACATTTCCAGCCATGAGGGAAAAGCCTAAAAATTAGGGTTAACATTAAGTTTTTAATAGTTGTGATCACATAACCACTAATGTATACCACAGCCAGGGACTTCACAGCATGGAAAAATCTTGTTACTTTTATTTCTGCTAGAAGAAACCCCTGTATTTTCCTTACTTCCCTGTGACCTGGCAGATAAGTCTCCTTTGCTGGAGAGTTGAGAAGGGAGACCCTTATTAAGTAGTACTCAGGGTGTTCTATCCCAATGTGGGCAGCAGCGTGTGGGTGGAATGCTTCTGTTTTCTTAAACTTCCTCCACTTCTTTCAGGGTGTGCTCTAGGATAGTGTCTTGTCCCTGGAACTTAAAATAGCCACGAAACAACTTTTTCTGAAGCACCAGGGGAAACCAATAGATATCATCTGCCCACATGTGACTGAATGGCACCTCATCCAGCTGAAACCACTGTGGACGCATTTCTGGTGGGAGAAAACAAAATAACTTTGCATGAGACTTTCTCTTGGGGTTTTTTTTCTGCCTAGACTTTGAATATCTGTCAACAAGCAGCTTCCCTCTATAGCCCAGCTACGTCCCTTCTTAAAGGGATTTTGGCACGAGTAGTTCTGCATTTCTTAAGAGCAATACTGTCTCAGAATAGAATGCACATCCTTCCTTTCTCTCCACTAGCTACCTACCATCACTTTCTGTTGGCTCTCCATGAAACTGATCTGCCCGGAAAATGTGAACTTCCATGAGTTCAGAGTTGCCCACAAATTCAAATGTGATCTGACCCATCTTCTGCAAGGTGTCCACAGTTAGTCCACTCTCTTCCAGGAGCTCCCTGCACAAAAAGTAGACTTCTTTACATGAAAGCAGGCAGTGGGAGAACAAAAAAGCAGTCGTTAGCTTTATTTGCACATTCAAAAACACTTCTAATGAACCAAAGGTGGAAGCTGCACCTGTAAAATGGAGCAGGGCACAGCCTGCAGAGCAAAGCAGAGTTCTGGCTTGCGTTGAAGTATTACACAACAGGGGAGCCATGTCAGAGTGGCTTGTGTGTTATTTCAAGCTCCTAAAGGCTGGCAGGAAGATAGTCTGTATTGGAAGGGGAAGATTCAGAAAAAAAAAAAAGATTGTCTAGTAAAACTTACACTCCTTGCAACCTGATGATCTTTTCTGAGATTAGTTAGAAGTGTGCTAATGCTCAGATGACTGTAGCTGGATGTGACTTAAGAGTTCTGAGATATACTTCATTTAGGCAAAAGGCTTTGCCAACTTCAAGCTAAAGTTTTCAGAATTGTGGGGAAGCAGGTAATAAATACTAGAACATCTGTACTTGCTCCAAATCAGCTACTTCTGAGGCTAACTGAAGCTTATTTAAATAACACTACACACTACGTAACATGATTTGCACACAGACCATTAGGAATACTGTCTCCCATTCAAATGCTGTGTAAAAAAAGCAACAAAGCAATTGTGTAAACTTTACATTTCTGCTCCTTGGAAGTACATTTAGCATAACTGAGAGGCTAGAAGGCAAGACTTTTAAGAGCACTTTGAGAGACTTGCCAGACAACTCTTTTTCCATGCATCACCATGCATGGCTACTTGAAGCACATTCAGTTGCTTGCTCTGTTTATGCTACGCAGTTGGGGCTTTTTTTATTTTTACCTGCCTCTAACAGAATCAGCACAGCTTGGAGTTAGTTATGGTTTTTCTAACATACAAAAATAAGGAATACCTTGAAACAGTGTATCTTCAGTTAAGGTTAATAATTAAGGGAGTTGCATATTTGGCAGTAACTTAATTTTAAAGTGTAATGGGAATTATCTTTAAGGCTCCAGCTTTATTTGGCATCAGTTTTGTGGATCCCATCCTTCAAAATTATATTTCAACTTAATGTCTTAGATAATTTTAGTCTATCTTCCTGAGAAACTATGTCTAAAATAGAGGCAGTTTTCCAGCAACAAAGCTAAAAGCCTCGTTTTACAGGCTGTGACCATGGAAGAACAAAGCACAACACTGCTATGGTTCTCCAAACAATCAGTCTGTCAGCTGTTTGGCTCTGTATATAGTAAGTGGAAACATTACAGGTAGCAAATTAGAAATAATGAACTAGCTAAATGCCCCCCTTACAATATGTGCCACTGAGGAGCCATGGGTACTTGCTGGAAAGTGGCATACCCAGTGGAGGATAGAAATCTTACCGATACAAGAAATTTTTGTTCATGCTTCAGCTTAATATTTAACTATCTGTGCTGTGAGGACATTTTGCACCTTATGCCGCTGCAAACCCGACTGAGACAGCGCAACACGTGAACCACAGCACAATACCTCAACTCCGAACGCAGAGCGGAGGCGGCCCGAGTGAAGTGTGATTTGGACTGTGTGACACGCCCGGAGGAGAGCTGCGCCCGAGGCAGTGCTGCACCACAGCGGTGTTCCCGCCAGGAAGGTGGGCTGCGTGCCGAGCTGGCCTTGGCTCCGGGGCCTGCTTCCTGCTCGGCTGGCCTCGGCAAGAACCGGTTGTGTCATTCTGCAGTAAACTCGGACCAGCTATGTCGAAAGGGATGAGGGTTGGACCGTTCCACAGCCCACAGCAGCAGGTGCTGGTTGTGCTGCGGCACGTTGCACTGAGATCACAGAAACTTCTATCACTTGACATCTCGTATGGACTAAAGCTCCAGTTCCTAACTCTGGGCTAGCACAGATAAACACACACCTAGGGAATCAAATGCTAAATTAAATCATTAGATTTCCACCACAGTCAGTGGCAACGTAAAATGAAGGCCTGATTTAAGTAACAAAACTGATCTCCCTCCCTTCACTCAGAGATGATAAATTACACAAAAAGCCATGATGTAAGCGTCAGGTACGTTAACGCCATGCACTGCTGGGTGCACATCTGCATAGAGGACCCTTCAGTCCCCTGGATTAGCTCACCACAAAACCCAGGTCGTTGCACTGGCACAGCTGAGGAGACGTTTCAGGGCAGAAGCTGTTGAGCACACCCACACTTATCTTCCTGCAGGTGCGAGGGCAATTTTGGGCATATATCAGAAAGTGAGGAAGTAGCAAAGTGTGGTTTTGTGTCAGCAACATTCACATAAAGAATGAGGTACCGAATGGTTGGACTTTATGATCTTAGAAGTCTTTTCCAACCTTAATGATTCTATGATTCTATCATTCAGCTGCGATCTGCTATTTCATTTTAATGATGAGGCAGAAGAACTCCAAGAAATCAGTACTAAAGGCTTCAAAAATGGTACTGTACCTCCATACTGATGGAATTCAATTCCTTAAATCAGCATTAGGGCTTAATGCCACCATGCAGTCAAATAACGAATTTCTACAGTGCCTTTCATAACGGACCCCTAGGAATTTCTACTCTTTTGTCACTACATTTTCACACTACTAAAAATGCTACTGAAAGGTAGCGTCTGTTCAACAGCTTCAAAATTTAAACAATAAGCAGTACACTGGCATAAGCTGTAATTCTGCTATCTAGCCAAAATTAAACTGCACCTTTCTGAACAGTGCAAGAACCTCTGTCCATCACTAGCAGGCCAAGTCTCAGTGTAGATTAGAGTCCAAGAGATGGAGGGAGGACACTCAGTAACTGCCAGTTACTCATGGACTGGATGACAATTAAAGATTTGCAGATGACGGGCAACGGGGAGCAGTCCCGTTTCTTTGTACATGTGGGTGACCCCTCATCACCCGTGGAGCAGGCGATTTTCTCCGTTCGGAGATGGCTCACGACCGCCACGGGTGGTGGGTAACACACTGGTTACGAGGGTGCTATGGATCAGCCGAGCTGCAGTCACTCCACCTGCAGCCCACCACAGGCGGTCTAACACCTCCACGGCCCAACCTGTGCCCCTCCCCCCCTCCCCCCGGGGCGCCGGCCGAGCCGGGCCAGGCCTCACCTGCGAGCAGCCTCCTCGATGCTCTCCCCAGGCTGCACCTTCCCCCCGAAGCCGTTCCACAGCCCGGCTCCAAACCCGCGTTTCTTCATGCCCAGGAGGACGCGGGGCGGCTGCACCACCAGGACAAGGGTGAAGAGCCGGGACGTGCACATG